CCCGGAGCAGCCGGCGGCGGCAGGGCGCCGAGGGGAGGCAGGTACGGGAGGGGAGGGGGGACGACCCTGGGCCAGACGGGGTCGGCACTGCATCCTAGTTCGTAGTTCACAGAACCGAAAGCTTTGACTGCGCGACTGGGTCCAGAGTACCCACACGAGTCAGTTCCACTATCTGCCACTTGGTCTCACTAACCAGACTGAGTGTTTCTCCCAACTAGACACCCTCAACCGGCAAATGTGCCGGTTACCCCAACTATGCACTTTTTTCAGTGCGCGGCTTTTACCAAGACTTTTACCCCAAAACGCGTGCTCGCTGCAAGATTTTTTTAAATTCGAGCCAAGATGCTATCTACTAAAGCAATGTTTTACCACATTGAAAACAAATATAAAAGTTTGACTGGTTCAATTGTTGTGTGAACCGCCCCCCAAAATCATACATGTTGATATTTAAAAATAACCATCGAAACAGTGAAAACCTCTCTTCCTCTTACAAAACCGAAATACCAGATGGGGGATTAACCCAGCTCACGTCTGTAGTTATTCTGTACCGCACGGACGAGTGCAGTGAGGATGGGCTTGCCTATCGCCCCTCTCAATGACGCCTTAAGGGCCAATCGAGTACGCAACCCACCTGCACTCGTGCGCTTAGTACAGCAATACAGAAGTGCACGGGGTTAACCAGATACCTAATGGTATTGTTGTTGGTTGACCCCCCATGGAAAACAATTTTTAACGAGGAGGAGTCGAAAGGGGGGGAGGTATTCCCTTCTGGTAGAGTTGGGGGGGTAGTAGTTGGGGACTGTCTAAAAACCACCACACACATTTCCAAACAAGAAAAATTAAAAGAGATTTTTCGCTGTGCGGCTCGGCACGCTGTGGGCGCCGATCCTGGTGCAGCGTCTGCTCGCCGTCCGGGGAAGAGGCGCGGCAGTGCAGGCTGTCATCGCCAGCCCTGAGTGCCGCGGCCCGGCCCGGGCGCGCGCCGCGCAGGCTATCTCCGTCAGCTTTCCTTCCCACCCCACCCCTAGCCCCTCCGTCCCTCTCCTTATCTCCTGGATCGCTTTGACATCATATTAAATCACAGACTTTTGGTACACTTCTCCCCCAGAGCATTGTACACCCACCCATGGTCCCATGGAGGCATGGTACTCACCGTGGTGGTCAGGGAGCGTGATGCAGGTCTGCAGGCCGTACTGGTACGTGGAGTAGGCGGGCGGCGTGGCGGGCCTGCCGAGGTCCATGTGCGCGGGGCTGGGCGCGCCGTGGCCGTGGGGAGCGGGGCTCGGGCCGCCGGGGATGGGGTCGACGGGGCTGGGCGGCGCCTTCATGTAGCCGCCGTCCATGGCCATGCCGTACGGCGACCACTGCGCCCCGGGGGCGGCCGCCGTAGAGTCCACCAGGCTCTGCTGGTAGGCCATGCCGTAGTCGTACGAGCCGTACGTGTAGTCCTGCGAGGAAGGCCCGCAGGACGGCCCGCAGGCCTGCTGGTGCACGTCGTACATGGGCTGGTGCGTCTGGGACGACACGTCCATGCCGTGCACGGCGCCGTGCGCGGCCAGCATGTTGCCGCCGTTGAAGAAGGCGGTGGCGGGCGGCGGGTGGTGGTACTGGTGCAGCGCCTGGTGCGCCCGCAGCTCGGGCCGCAGCGCCTGCACCGCCTGCACGGCCTGGATGGCCTGGCACTTCCTCCGGAAGCCCCGCGGCCGCCGACGGTACGAGCCCTCCTCGAACATGAGCTCCGAGGCGGGGTCGATGGTCCAGTAGTGGCCCTTGCCCGGCCGACCCAGCCCCTTGGGCAGCTTGATGAAGCACTCGTTGAGGGACAGGTTGTGGCGCACCGAGTTCTTCCAGCCCTGGTACGAGCCGCGGAAGAAGGAGAACTTCTGCTGCAGGAACGTGTAGATCTCGCTGAGCGTGAGCCGCTTCACGGGCGAGTGCTGGATGGCCATGACGATGAGCGCGATGTACGAGTAGGGCGGCTTCTCCTGGCGCCGCAGCCCGGAGTTGCTCTTCTTGGCCGGCATGGCGGTGCCGCCCCCCGCGGCCGGAGTGGGCGGCGGCTCGTTCAGGGGGGCCTTGTTGTCCTTGTCCGCGCACTGGTTGCCGGGGGATGGTTCCTCGGGTAACATTTGAGGCCGGTGCTGCAGGTGCGAGGTGTGCTGCAGGTGCGACGTCTGCTGCAGGTGCGGAGACAGCTGGTGATGAAGGCCGTTGTGGTGGTGCAGCTGCGGGGGCGGCGGAGATTCGAGCGCCACGGGGCCATGGTGGCCGCTGGCGTGGTGGTGGATGACTCCAGGGTGCTGCTGGTACAGGTGCTGCAGGTGCTGCTGCAGGTGGAGCTGGCCGACGAGCTGTCCCGAGCCCCCGGACGGGTCCCCGAGACTGGACAGCGGCAGCGGCCCGAGCGAGCCCAGTGATCCGAGCTGCCCGGGCTCCTCGCACTTGATCATGTTGTTTGGCTCAGCTCCTTGCAAACATTTGTTGCGCGGCTAAACATTTACGTTCAACTTCATAATCAGACCGGGCCAGACCTGACCTGCCCCACCGAACCTTCGCTTGGGTCCCGCCGCACCGGGACACGCGAGCCGCGGACGCACACACACTGTTCACTTTCAATATTTGGGCCGTATCACCAAAACACGGAGCGCATCACACAAACAGCTCCGCCCTGGCGCACACGGGGCCGGGCTGGACCGATACACAAACAGGAGTCGCACCGAGCGCGCCGAGTACACAAACACCACTAACGCCGTACACAATTTACACGACGCGAAGCCCCTCCTTCCCGGACCGTCCCCGCGTCAGTGGCGGGGGTGAGCGGGGGTGGGCGTGTCCACCGAGCTGCAGGTGTCAACGCGATCGGGGGGACGGCGAGACGCGCCACGGTCCGCACGCGACAGAGTTCCCTCTCGTTCTAAAACCGCGAAGCGTTTGTTGTTCTCGGCGCTCGGATCCGGCCGGTGGAGGGGGCGGAGGCTGTGGTGCCTGCGGGGAACGGCAGGCGGGGAGGGGCAGGGGTGCGGCGCGGGGTGGCGCGTGTGGACCAATCGAGAGGAGGCTGCGAGGATGGGGCGGGGCCGCTCCGTGCCTCCCCAACCCATCAGGCCCCGCCCCCGCCGCGCCCCGCCGACCGGTCGCTGGGCTGGGCACCGGCGAACAGGCACCACCGGCCCGTCGACATGTGATACAAAATAAAGTTGGTCGTAAAATCGCCTGACGTCGTTAAGGCCTCGGCCCAATGTGCGAGCGATTACTCGGCGGACATGTCGAGCATCAAACGACGCTTCGGGCTGCAGGGGTACTGCCTGGTGTACATCGAGCAAAGGCGAGAGCTCGCGACGACTTGCGCTGGGGATGTCCAATGTCGTCGCTCCTGCATTGCGATCGGAGCGGCACAAGTCAACAAGTGCTTTTTGCCCCTCCATAGCCGAAGGGATGTAGCTAGGCCCGGAGCTGGGTAGGTGTCCAGGTGAGGCGGGCGGTGGGAGGAGCGCCCGGCTGGGTAGGCAACGCGGTGAGCAGGCGTGCGGGCGGGTCACCTGCCCAGGTGAGGCGGGCGGCGAGCTCTGTCAAGTAGGCACCACCCAATGGCGGTAGGAATTGTACTACTTGCCAGGAGTTAGTACTCAATTAGTACTCTCACCCAGTCAAATATTAGAATTTGTACTAATAAACTGTGGGCACAATCCGAAAACGATATGGGGCGGTGCGTGCATGACGTTTGCACCGCCCAATTGTCCGATCCCAACGAGGGACAATGCATTCTGTGCGGAAGAATTAGTACTTTCGGAGTATCAACCTACCAGAATTTGTACTACCTTTTAACACCGTGAAAATTGAAGTCAAAGTCGGACGGCGCCTGTAAACTGCAGGGTAGGCAACCCGCATTACTCGCACCACCCAATGCACCTAGAAAATTGTACTGAACGCCAAAATTTAGTACTCAATCAGTACTTTCACCCTGGCACATTAGTGGAATTTGTACTCACAAACTGAAGCCGGGCGGTGCGGGCATGACGCGGCACCGCCCAATTGTCCCACAGCCCCCACAGACAGTGCATTCTGCTCGGGTCGATTAGTACTTTTCGAATATCAGCATGCCAGAATTAGTACTACACGGCAACAACGCATAAGCGGCGGTAAAGACAAGGAAGCCCCCGCAAGCTCCAAGATAGGCAGCCCACAATACTCGCACCGCCCGATGCAGCTAGGAATTTGTAATGCACGCCAAAATTTAGTACTCAATTAGTACTTTTACCCCCGCTTACATTTAAAATTTGTACTGACACCGCCAGTGTGTACATAAATGTTGAAAGTGGGCGGTGCGGGTGTGATGCTGCACCGCCCATTCGTCCAACAGCCCCCACAGACAGTGCATTCTACTCGGGTCGATTAGTACTTTCCGAATATTAGCATGCCGGAATTAGTACTACACGGCAACAACGCATAAACGGCGGTAGAAAGAAGGGAGCCCCCGCAAACTCCAAGATAGGCCACCCACAATACTCGCACCGCCCAATGCAGCTAGGAATTTGTACTGCACGCTATAATTTAGTACTCAATTAGTACTTTCACCCTGGCACATATTTGAAATTAGTACTGACATCCCCAGTGTGTACATGAAGGTTGGAAGTGGGGTGGGCGGTGCGGGCTTGACGCTCCACCGCCCAATCGTCCAGCAGCCCCCACAAACAGTGCATTCTGCTCGGGATGATTAGTACTCTCCGAATATTAGCATGCCGGAATTAGTACGACTCAGCAACAACCCATAATCAGTGGTAAAACAGTGGAGCCGCTGCAGGCTGCAAGGAAGGCAACCCGCAGTGCTCCCACCGCCCAATGCAGCTAGGAATTTGTACTGCACGCTAAAATTTAGTACTCAATTAGTACTACATTTTCTAGGCACATTGTGGTGTCTAAGTATGTGGTTTCTATTGATAGCAATAGACCTGTGCGTGTCCAAGTGTTCAGAACGTTCACAAACGTCTAAAATGTGTACACCACGGAAGTGTGCAACTTGAGTTAAACACCATGTAATGTGCAAGTGGGTGGTTCGGCCGTGACACTGCACCGCACAATCGTCCAACAGCCCCCACAAACAGTGAATCCTGCTCAGGTCGATTAGTACTTTCCGAATATCAGCATGCCGGAATTAGTACTCCACAGCAACTACCCGTACAGAAAAAAGGAGATCTAGAATGTCTCCAGCCGAGACATCGTAGAGACAGATTGAAGACGACATGCAGACTTCTACGAGACATTCTGGAGATAAA